TTACTAAATAGGTAGAGACTGTTCAGACAACCTTCGCTCTCATGACATTAATAATTAATCACTCCTTTCGGTTTATAAAAATCCTGGTATACCAAATGTCTTTCCTTCCTTCTCCCATGGGTTACAAAACACAATCAGTGATTTCCTTTTACTCCACCAAACTGTGCCCAACAATGGAGTTGTACAAAGAACGTGTTACTGGGTTTAGAAAAATATAAAAAAGCCTTTTTTATTATTATTATTTTAATATTTTTTTGCATGAATGCTCTCAGGAGCAGTCAGTCTTTTCTTAGTGAGCTGTGACAGGCATGAAGTTGCATAATCTGAGAAATACTTTGCTTTAGACAAGAGAATAGTCTTCTCTGATAAACTCTACCAACTATGTCTTGCTAAATTGAATGGTGTCTACAGGGCCCCTAAGTTTATTTTCTCTCATATGCCTAATACACATAATGCACATTCTGCCCTAACAGAGTAGTTCTTTTCAATTAATTATGTTGAGGAGGAATGGGCAGAACACGTGCATGATGCACTGCTAGCTGCCTGTAATTTGTACCAACATGCCAGTTTTTAACATAAAAGGGTGAATATCAAGATCTGTTATTATAAAAGAGGCAGAAAAAGCACCTTAATAAGCTTTCCAACTAGTTCTTTCGAAGAGGTCACTGAGGCCTTATTACAATAAATTGTACTTTCAGTAATACAGAAAGGTTCCCATCATTAGAGAAGATATGCCTATGTTGATATTAATTGAAATAGAGATTTTTCCAGGCTAACTAGGCTGGCAAAAACACATTTGCCAAACTATAACAATTCTGTTTTGTTCCAAGTGTATCTTGCATTTCAAGTGACAACCTGGTTTCAGGCATGTGGGACACAGCGCATATGCCGGGTTTTCCAGTTTGTTCTCAGCAAGGTTAAGTGAAATTAGAACAACTGGACTAAATTATCCTTTCATATGAAAATTGTGTCACTGTTCAGATGTCAGAATGGGACATGTACAGAGGAGCTCAGTTCTTGTGCTTCTTTCCATAAAATAATGAATCCTGGAGCTCAAGGTAGAGGAACTCCCAGGTTGTGCTTCAGAACAGAGGGAAATTAATTTTCTCCTCATCCTCCCTCTGCTGTACCCTTTAAAAAGTTATAGTGACTTTTCTAACATCAAATACATTGTTGCCTTTTCCCAGAGTATGGCAAGGTGCAGTGTTTATTGTCAGCACTAAGTGATGTGTTGTACCCGCAGCAGAGGAGCTGGATTGTTCCTGCTCTTCCAAGAAGCTGTCTATCTGTGTTTATAGAATATTCAGCTGTTGTCAGGTGGCTTGCTGTTTTCTGAGGCCTCAAATATCTTGCCTGTTTTACTTTGTGGAATCTGAGTCAGGAGAAGTCCCTTGAACCCTCAAACCTTTAGAATGTCTGGTAAGGTAAGAAGGGAGCAGTGCTGGAGTTTGCCTGCAGTGTACTACCACAGTGTGCTACCAAAATTCTGCTGTAGAGCATTAAAATTTTGAGATTCATCAAATCTCTTTCTTCTTGGGAAACAGTGTGTGCATTAAGTGATATGACATGTGAAGTACAGATAGCAGAATGTGCTGAAGCACACAAGGCTGGGGAACCTGAAGCAACTTCCAGCATCTGCTAAATAATTCTAACTATTTGGATTAATACATTTTTGGTTTGTAAGTTGATCATCTTATTAATTCTACCTCACCTACTGTCTTTAAAAATGAATTTTCATTTAAATCTAGATGCCCTTGTAACTGACCATTCTGAATTTTAGAAGTGAGCTGGCCATGCAGTACAGCTTTGAGGGGATTAGGCTAAGGTCTCACTGTGTGTAGCAGAAATAGGAATAGAAATAGAAACTGTAGGACAGGATATAATGCCTGAAGTAGACAGTTTTGAGAATCTCTTCAGGAAGAAATACTCCTAGAGTTTTATAAATTTATAGCCAAACTTAAGATTTAAATACAGAAAAAAGAGAATTAATCACCGTTAATTTACAGATTGGCATGCTGGTTTAAATTTAAATTTTGGATGAAGTTATTAAAAATGATGCTTTGCTTCTATACAAAAAAAGTCATTTAATTATTAAACTGCACATAGTGTGAGATGCTTCTTTGTGCAGTGTCAATTTTGGCATAGGTATTTTCCAATTTAATTTTTTTATACTGGAATCTGAGTTCAAAGTGCATCTCCTGCTTTAGAGTGCAGCTCTAAGCGGTGATATTGTGAGGAAGACGGCGACTCTTCAGTAATAGCAATGCCTAGAACTGCTAATGAGAAGGACCTGCACCTTTCTGAATGTAAGGTTTTTGCATCCCTATGTGCTTCTAGAAAATGAGTAAAAATACCTTTAACTTTGACAAGTATCTTTCTTGACCATATCAACCTCTATGAGATCCTAATATTATCAGAAGTTCTGTTCTTTATTTATTTTTCATTTTGGTGTAATCTTTGTTAATCTTACGTAGCAGAAGTCCTTGAATCATTGGAATAGATGTGCTGTCACCAAGTTTTGAAGTAATACTGGACATCACATCATGCTAGTCCAGCCTGCTTGCTTTTCTAGATTAAGAGAATGAACTGCTTACCTGTGTCTTAAGTGGACCCACATGGACCCCATAGCATGCAGGGGAATGTTTTAGTCACAGAGGTCTAGAGAAGATAGGAGTATCTGTTTGGTTAATTTGGTTAATTTTTAACTGTTTTGGGAAATTATGATCATACCATTAACTGTACCCCCAAGTGACAATCAACTCCAGCTACCACCGATGTAACCTCTTACTATGACCCAGAAAACCCTGAACAAGCTTCCTAAGGTTGTAAAGATTACACTCCAATCTGTTTAAGATTATAAAAGTCCAAAATGGACAAAAATCTCTCTTTTAGAGTTCAAAACTTACGGTGTGGCCAGAAGATAAATCTTAAATGTTTGCATCTATTTAAATGTATTGTCAACCATTCTTTTAAATTATGCGTAAATGTACATGTATTCTTACTTAGTTTTTTCATAGTATTGGAATGATCTACACTGTGAATTTGTCTCTTGAAGCATTTATCTAAAATAGAGAACAAGAATTAGGCTGAGGCTTAAATGGAGATCATTTGGCTTTGGAGTCATCGTTGCCGTGGTAGTCTTTTCCAAGTGGCTACGTTTTTGACTGGGGCATTTTATAAGGCTGAAAGAACTGCTAAATTAAAGATACTTTAATTTGTATGAAGTTAATTTTGTATGAAGCTGTAATTATTACATGTAATCAGAAGGGATGGTATGGAGTGAGGAAGATATAACGAGTGCATGGATGGAAAATAAAATGAAGCTAAAAGTGATAGTGATTGCAAGGGGATTATTTTCATACTCCAATTAGTTTTGTAAAATCTAAAACTGGGATGTTGAAGCATGTTTATATCTTTAAGGGACTGTTTTAAGAGAAATATGTCTGCTGCAAAGGAAACAGATGTTTTTACTCAAGAAGTATTTCACTTTTTGTTGGAACTGGTATCTTTAATTTACTCCAGCTCTAACTATGCAAGCTCCTTGTTTGCTAGCAAGAGTGGTGATCAAACTGTTTTGTTTTCTTGGGCAAGTCAGTGTTTCTAGATGTGTTCTGGGCTATAATGATGTTAATGCAAGGGGTTTTTTGCCTCTAAAAGCAAACAGCTGCATAGAATTTAATTTTCTTTGAGAAGTCACACAGGAGTAGGGACATTAGGGTAAGAGGTAGTTTGGTAGATAACTCAACAGAAGAGAACACTTTTTCGGTGTCTATATTGTGTTTTTTTTAATAAATCAGAGTTGTGTAGTATTTCAAAAGGACATGTCAAACAGTTTTCACTCAATACTCAGTAAAAAATTAGGGTAAGTCAGTACTATATTAATAACAAACAGACTTTGTATGGCTTTGTTTGATATGTAAATATGATCATGTATGTGCTTAGTTTGTGTCAAGAATCTTAGGCAGAGGAAATTTAGCAGTCCCTGCCTAAGCTCCAGCTGCCTCCAGTTGCTGAGGATTTTTTGAAAGAGGTATTCTGTAAGACACACAAGTGCCAGATTATAACAATCACAGCCAACATGTTCACAGTGAGCGAGAAAACTGCGTTGTACTGATGGTGGGCAAAGGAGCAGTGCACACTCTGCAGGAAATCCTCTCAACCAGGCACATCTCTTGCAGTCACCAGCCAGTCCTTACCTGCCTTTGCTCAGGGCAGGGGGGGCTCTGTTAGTTCTCACTATCAGAAGCATAGGCTGCTTGGGTCAAATCTTCATTCAAATTTAACAACATGTAGTAAAGCTCTAGAAGGTTTTCTTGGCAGCTGCAGTCAGAGGAGCAGAGTGCTATACACACTTAATTTTACTGGCTCATTTAAAGTCTTGAAATTCTGAATCGCATGAACAATTTTAGTGGACTTTTTTCTTTCTTTTGAACTGCCTTATTTAAATATGAACAATAACAGCAGGTCCTTTACTCATAATAAAACACAACATGTTGTTCTTTTTCTCTCTCGGGTTTATTGTTTTTAGGGGAGCATTTTTTTCATAGTGAGGTATGTGAGCATAAAAGTCTGTTTTTCTGTTTACCTGACCACTTTCTTCTAAAATTAGCCCTTTATTCTAGAATTTATTAATTGTATATAGTAAATAGAAATTTGGTGCCTCCCTTGTAATGTGATAATCCCTGATACCAGCAAATACCACTGAGAAATAGCTGCAGTACAGCTGTTGGATAGTAAGAAACCCTTATTCACCAGCTTATATTCTCACTGCTCAAAATCATTAATTAATTAAATAAACATCCTCATATGAAGCAAACACTTGTCTCCATTTTGAAATCAGTACTGTATGATATATTCGGTGAATTTAATTTGTGAAAACAATGTAACAGCCTTAACGAGTTACTTGTAATTTGTAGATCTTATCCACTTCTTACATTTGTTTATTTAAAAAGAAAATGCTTTAGAAATTAATATCTTATTTTTCTTTCTTGTGCCCTTACCCTTTCCAAGGTTACGCCTTCCTGCTGTTCCAGGAAGAAAGCTCTGTACAAGCTCTGATAGATGCCTGTCTGGAAGAAGATGGGAAACTTTACCTATGTGTGTCAAGTCCCACAATCAAGGATAAACCAGTAAGTAGCTTATGCCAGGACACTTATGCTGGTTGCTAGCACGTTTGCTGTTACTCTTTTCAGTTAATAAATAAAAAAGATACTTACAGTTAATTACTTGTCACTTCCTCTTTCTACCCTTGCTCTTATATTGACTTGACTTTCTGTATCAGCATAACACGGCTTCAACATTTGCTTTCTTCTGATAAATACCACGTTCAGTTAATTTTTATATTTGGTACTTCTGGTATCCAAAAGGAGAATGCATCCTTTTAGAATGTTAGCTGTAAAACAATGGAATTGTAATTTTCTGTCTGTATTATTTGAGAGAAAAGAAAGCCTTTTGGGACGAAGGGAAGAAACTTAACCCTGCCAAATTAAAATCCAGAAAGCATCAAATATCCTCTGTACTTCATTGGGGTGTTTATTTATTGGTTTTTTATGCATGCAGTAGCTAATCAATTTATAATTTAGGCCTCATTTACCTTATAGTAACTGCAAGGTAAAATCAAGTACTGCAGACAGCTATAGCAGAATAGAAGACATACAGTAACCTGTTCTTATTGTTCACTTCTCCAATATTTTTTAATGTTAGTATTTTTTTTTTGCCTATGGATATATACAGATTAGATGAAAACTACAGACTAGTAAGATAAGATAAAAAACGTGCTGCCTTTTAAAACCATTTTTGAAAATCTTGCACAGAGGAATGAGCAACCCAAGATTACAGCACAGGGAGCGGGCTCGCATGATTTCTCGAATAAAAAAAAAAAGGATTGATGAACAGCTCTGTGTAAATAACTTCTGAGTGGTTTTTTTTCTGTACAATCTGAAGATTTCTTATCAACTGGCATTCACACATTGTACAAACCCCATTTTGTATCCAAGCACTGAAATTATTTTTATCTCCACTCCTATCAGTGCTTTAAAATTTGTGGATCACTGGATGTGATTTCAGGAAAGCCAGAAACCCAAACTGCAACTGTAATTGCAGATAGATGGTAAAATGTTCTGAAAGACCTTTCACAGATTTCTTACTATAATGGCGATTAGGGGCAGGGAATTAATGAGGGTAGGAGTTTGCAATGATGAAATTTAACTCAAGCCTGGCCTCTAGAGGCGGTAAATGAATTGTCCACCTTCTTTCGGACACTTATATAAGCAATATTCTCACATTGTTTTGGTGCTCGTGCCCCCAATTTACTGTTTTCACAAAGTTAAAGTTTTGTTTTTAATTATAGAAAAATTTGGCAGTTTCTTAATTTTAATTAAGTGGCCAAGCTCCTCAACTAAAAAGAGTCCTTAATACAGGTGCAAATTCGACCTTGGAACCTAAGTGACAGTGACTTTGTGATGGATGGGTCTCAGCCTTTGGATCCAAGAAAAACAATCTTTGTTGGAGGAGTTCCACGGCCCCTCCGAGCTGGTGAGTAGAAGGGAAATGTAGGGCACATAGTAGGGGGCTCCAGGTTAAGTAGAAAAGATATGTGTAAAAGAACAGAAAATATACATGTCTTTTCCACAGATCACAGCTTGGTTTGTAAGCCAAGAGGTCTCTTCCTGTCTGCAGAATAAACACCGTGAACATTTTCTGCTCTTTAAAAAGGTTACTAGTGAGGATTGCCAGTAGAAAGAGTTTTCCCCAACTTTGCATAATATCCTAGAACTTGTCTGATTTTTTTGTAATATGGACCATCTTAATTATAACCCTGCAATTTTTTGCTGAGATGCAGACAATTTCCCTTTCCTTTGACAAACTTCTCCAAGACTCTTTACAAACCAATTTCAATGTCAACTCTATGATTTCTCTTTCCCTTTTATTCAACCCTTACCCTAATTTTTTCATGGAGTTATGGACAAGGCCTCTCAGCTATCGTCCTGAAAAAAATTCTCCCAACCAGGTCTCCTCATGGCCCCACACTGAAGACCATGTTCCAGACTCTTTCCTAATGTAGCTTTTTTTCCCCTCTGTTTCTTTTTCTTTACCCTTAACTCTTTTTCTTCACTTCTATTTGCAGAGCAATAGACAAGACTCCTTAGTCTTTGGCCAGAGGAAAGATTTGTCCCAGCCCAGATCTCCTGGCAGCCCCCATTTTGTTTTGAAGGCCCCCTTTCAGCACCACTCCCAACTGTAGCTCGACACTTGTTTCTTTCTTCCTAACCCTTATGTTTCTGGTGAGCCAATGACAAAGTCGTGAAGCAAGTCAAGACGTTTCTCCTAGCAAGATCTTTTGGCAGCCCTCACTTCTGTGTAGTAGTCCCTCTCCATCCTCACTCCAAGGCAGCTGCATGGTTTCTCTTTTTCACCCACTCAACCCTAATCCTCATTTTCCAGGACTGTAGTAGACAAGACCTCTTAGTCACCGTCTGGAAGAAAGACTTCTGAATCAGGTTCCCTTGTAGCTCTCACTTTCCTTTGGCAGCCACTTTGCAGCCCACTAGAACTTAAGCTCCTCACCTTATCTTTTGCCTAATGCAAAGTCATTAGGGAAGCTGTGCACAAGGTCCCCCAGCCACTGCAGACAGTAAGGTTTCTCCTAGTCAAGGTTTCTTGGCAGCTTTCACCTCCTTCTGCATCTTAAAATAAAGCACAGTTGTAAGATGGTAATTATGTAAATAGCAACAATTAAGCATTACCTCATTTCTAATGATAGTCCTTATAAAACTGTATGTCATTTGGCCTGTCATAGATCACATTTGAAATGCATTACATTTAAAAACTAATGCCTTTAAATAGTTAACTTCTCCAAAGCAGCCAAACAGTTTCCAGTTTTTCTTGTTTGCAGCTTTAAAGATCTGGTACAGAAGTTTTTTCTAAGATGGCTGAGCACTGCATGGTCTCCTTGCCCTGGAATCCTGTGTATTCTTTGTCCATTGGCAAGAGTACCTTAGTGGAACTACTATTGTAAATGTCTTTAAGTATTGCTGATGTTTATTCTGTACTGTCATTTTCTGAGATCACTACCCCATGATGATTCCAAATCATTAGAAAGCAGAAGAATCTAGTAGGGACTACATTATGCCGATAGGTTTTCCTTACTTTTCGGAGCAAGAGTATTACCTGGTTTGATAGGATGAGTCACACACAAATTTATACAAACACAGATACCTACTCAATTTAAAATTGTCTCTATTCTACGTATAATTTACAAGTCAGAATTTTGTGTGAACTACAAGGATTTAAATAGGTTTTTTGGTTCTTTTCATTTTATTTTGCATAGCTGACTTGTAACTTGCTACAGAAAGTGTTTTCACACATTAGCAGTAGAAAAAGGCTGACTTGGCGGGGCCTGTGCAGGTCCCAGTGTCTTGTGTTGTCCATCTGATACATTTGTTTGCCTGTGAGCTTTTACAGAGAACTTGGCTCAGTGACCATTCGTCCTTGCACGGTTCACATGCCTTTCTCTGCTTTCTTCAGCCTCTTTTCTACTTCCTTCAGTTCTTTCCCTTAACTTTCCTTCTGTGTGTTTCCTCAGCCATGACTCAACCTGTCTTATTTTATGAATGATATTTCTGACTTCTTTACAGTTATTCTTAGTATCAGGAAAAGCAACAAACCATTTTAAAAGATCCACGAGCAAGATAATGTTCCACCAAAATACTAATTTAAGTTGCAGCGAAAATGTAGGCTTGCTTTACGTGTAGTAACTTCTGCTGGCTCACAGATTTTTGTTTCAAATGTTGAACACCTCTTTTATGTCTTTTGAACCTTAGAACTTAGGACAAAATATCAGATTCTAAATATAGAAATATCTCTAAGTGATCTTACATGCAAACTAGCATTAAGAAGCCTGGCTGGAGCTACCTAATGCCAAATACCAGAGTTTTAATTTACAGTATTGTAAATTCTAGTTGATCTGATACCTGCTTTAACAGTGTAACTCTGTGTTTTTTTCACGCTTCAGTCACACCAAGTTTTTTTTTACAGATTCTGATTTTTGCCTTATATTTTACTATAATTTGTGTAGAGTTGATTCAATCTGTTAAAACCAGCATTTCAGTTTGCAGTTTTAGTCTTTGGACGACAAGTATGCTAAGGCAGATAGTGCTTTTTTAAATGGAGCAATCCAAATGCAACACTATTATCTGTGTTAAACCTATTATATTTAACAATTGACTTCTTGCAGTTGAATTGGCAATGATTATGGACCGTTTATATGGAGGTGTCTGCTATGCTGGCATTGATACAGACCCAGAGTTGAAGTATCCAAAAGGTGCTGGCAGAGTGGCTTTCTCCAACCAGCAGAGCTATATTGCTGCTATCAGTGCTCGCTTTGTCCAGCTCCAACATAATGACATTGATAAACGGGTAAGTAAAGTAGAGTGGAACAGAATGGTTGTTACAAAACTGTACAGAAATTAAAATCAGTATTATTACCATTGTGTTGGAGAACATTGTGGATTCTGTTCTTCAGATGTCATGTATCAATTTTTAAAAGCTTATTTAAACATCTAAAGCAGAGTCGAAAAAATATTTCAGACATCTTAAATAACTGTTTAGCTCTAAAACTTGAAAATGGTTGTAAGTACATTTGCTCTTGGTTTTGTTTTGAATTCTGTAGGTCAAATTCCACAGCATTTCCCAGCTTCTTTCTCTTTCTTTAGATATTTGCTCATTCTGCATCAACAGCTTTTATTTTGGTGATTACTTACATAGCTTGTGACACTTTTGCTGTTACAAGGCACCATTTTCTGTCAGTAGTGGATGTCTAGACTTGATGTCCCTAAAGCAGAGGTTTATTTTAAGTAAAATAGGTGATGCTGACCTCAAAAGTCTTGAACATTATTTAAGTAAAACCATATGCCAATGGATGCTTGATAGGCAGAAGGGGGGGAAGTTACCTGGTTTTGTTCAGGCCATATGAAACCCTGGTTTCTAAAGGGCTTTTCAAGTATGGAGTGAGGTTCACTTAAATTTGAGTTGAATACATTAAAAGAAAACATTACTTAATTTCCAAGGTTTTTTTTTTCCTTTAGACCTTCTGTCTTCACCTCTTGATTACACATGGAAACAACACCCCTGTTTCTGAGGACCCAGCAATTTAGAATTATTCAAAAGAACATACAGAATGCACTGCTGCTAAGTATTTTTCCAGTAGGGGTGGCTTGTTTTCTGCTTAATGTGATATAAATTGTTTCTTCAGAAGTCAGTTAAACAGGTATTGGGTGTGTCTGTTGCGTGCACTATGCATGTAAATCCACACAGCTGCAATTAAAAATCTGAGTTGAACTTTTTGTCAGATTCAAGGAGATCATGGAGTTATAAGTCCTCAAACAATTTTTCTGTGGTGCTGTACACCATATTACATTAACTAAGACAAGGCTATTCCTAGAGATTTCTTGTCCATTGAATTCTGAAAAATCTTAGATTGAGAAGTCTCAATCACATGTTGAACACTTTGAGATTTATATACCAGCCATGCTTACAAGGGGTTTCTTTCTAACGCTTAGGGTAGAACCACAAAAGATGCTAACTAGTAATTTTTTTATCAATAATTTTTTTTAACTTGGTTGATTGATAATTTATTTAATTATCTTTTATCTGTTTTGAATAGGTTTATCTGTGAGTTTGAAGAAATATGAAGTCTCTTAATAAGTCCTTAAATCTTAGTTTTTAAATCTAATAGATTGAAATCCCTGAACTGCGTAGCATATATTCTTAAAATTATTTCAGTAGTAACCAAAGCAAGAAAAGACATGAGAGAGCGAGAGACTCTATTTCAGACCTTCACAATTCATGCCTGGGAAATGTGAGTGGGTGGGGATCTAGAGCTGTGTTGGACATCGGACCTGCTTTCTTCCAATTTAATTTGAGACAGTGCTGTTTTATTTTACATGATGCTTCTAATTTTAGTGATAGGGCATCTGATATGCAAAATGGCAGTTACTCAGACTTGTTCCATGCAATACTAGTAGCATTGGCAACTCTAGCTGTTAAACAGGCAAGAAATACCATTCACTATGTGAGCTTCACTTCAAATGAGTTACATTTGTTGAAGTGTGATCAGGATAAGCTGAAGTAAAACGCAGCATAAAGCTTTTTTGTAGAATGTTTCTTTACTTTCTGCATAATATGTCATTCTGTGTTTCTTTAACTTTGTATGTATTTAAGTGTAGGTACTGGAGTCAGGTTTTCCTTGCAGTATACAATTTGTGCCAGACTAGCACTTGTGCGCTTACAGCAAAATTATTTATAATGTGTATTTCAATTTTTCTGTGTCTTCTAATGCAGTTGACTGTCCTTCAACTACTTTATAAATAGCATCATAGAGCTGTAAGAATTATACATGCATGAACTAATGATTTCCCTGGAATGAATGAGCACTCAATTTAAATGTGTAGGCATGACTTGATTCATAGGAACAGACACACAGGAAAGAACTTACATGTTGTCAAGTCCTGTAATAGCATTATTGCAAGTGTCTGGTCATCCATCAACCCTGCTGTGTTTGGCACAAGTGCTTTAAAAACAAAAAAGCATTCCAGCCCCAAGATGCTTACAATTGACTGTAGGACAAAAGTCATCAGCTCTCCAGCCTGTTCGTAACTGATGGCAAGGCCCTAGTTGGAATTACTGTGAAATGTTGTTGCACTTTAAGAGCTAAATATCTTTAGACAGTGATTTTTACCTAAAGAATTAAGACTATTTAATACAAATACATTTAATTTTGTTGAATTTGAATCTCTTATTAGTCTGGTCCCGGGTCTTGCAATTCACAAAAAAACCAAAGGAAAAAAAAATCTCTGGAAAAAAAGCTGTCTGAAACTCACCGGACCTCTGAAGTTTAGAAATGTAATCTTATTCTTTATAATTTTTCTTTCCAAATGCTGTTCTCATGGCCTGCCCTCACAACAACTGTATTCACATTCCTGGAGTTTTCTTAGACAGTGGGTAAATCCTTGCAGATGCTATTTTTACTGTTATTTTTCCATCTTAGTACTTTCCCACACCTCACTTTTCCAAGAAAAAGTTACAAAAGGACACCCTTCTTTCTTGAGATTTTTCTGACACGTAAAGTGGTTGGTATGAAAATTGAAATACCAACCTCTTGGGTTAGTCCTGCATCAGTTGAAAACCCTCAATAGTGTCAAAAATAATTAAAATATTACTTCTTTTCTGTTCATGCTCAGCGAAACTATGAAATCTCCTTACAGCTGTTCTTCTTCTTCCCGGTGCAGGTGGAAGTGAAGCCATACGTGCTGGATGATCAGATGTGTGATGAATGCCAGGGCACTCGCTGTGGTGGAAAATTTGCTCCGTTCTTTTGTGCCAATGTTACCTGTTTGCAGTATTACTGTGAATACTGCTGGGCAAGCATACACTCTCGTGCTGGGCGGGAGTTCCACAAACCACTGGTAAAGGAGGGAGGCGACCGGCCCCGCCACGTCCCGTTCCGCTGGAGCTGAACCCCAGGCCTCGCCCAGCAACAAGTACTGGAGTAAATAAAATTGAGTGAAAAGAGAGCGCTGCCTCAGGGCTTAGTGTTCTGGAAATCTGTGCATTCGTCCTCGACTTTAATGAAGATATGGGTCTTTTTATTACTATTATTATTATTTACAGTCACATTACTGAACTCAGTGTCCAGTATAATACGAACCGGCAGAGTGTAACTGTACTGATTTTGCACTTTGATTCACACAAACATCTGCTTGGTACCTTAATTTCCTACACAAGACTTGTCACTAGTGACATTATGTAGACTGCCATTCTCATCAGCCTTCACTGGGCTGATGTGTATGTGATGAAGATTTTTTTAATATAATTATAATTATTTTTATTTTTAAACTGGAGCATGCACTTATTTTCAGAAATTTAGACTTGCCCCTAGCAGATGACTTTACCAAAGGTAATATTCACAAGTAGGTGGCAGATGTAGCAAAAACTTAAACAGATATTCAGCAATCATTAGTTTGGGTCATTTAGAGTAGTAATAACCCTTAAAGAAAATAAGCCTTTAGTTGCTCTCCATTTTGACTTGTAAGGATGATACCTCATAAGCTGGATCAGACTTTTTTCTCTTGTTTTGCTGAGGGTTTTTTTTTGTTTGTTTGTTTTGTTTTGTTGGGTTTTTGTTTTGTTTTGTTAGGTCTTTTAGTGTTATGTAAATGTATGCTGCAATAGCTTTTGCTGCTATTAAAATGGTATTACTAATACCATAATACTCTATTCAGGCTAGGGTATCAATTAAAAATGAATATGTGATTAAAATAGTGATGGCTGCTGAAAGGAGATCAGTATAGCATACAGAAAAGCTTCCAAGGAAGGTCAATATTTTTGACTGCATGTTTACTTAATCAGGTTGCTGCATGCAATAAATTTTATATGTGTCTAATATAAAACCTGCCCACAATGCACAAATTATGAATCTTCGTAGGCTACAAAATGCTCAGTAACAAAAAAAAAAATTGATTACTGACTGGAGGAAGGCATGCCTCAGTAAATGTAATGCTTCTGAAATTAGGATCAGCCCATTACAGAATGACCTATATTACAACAAATATAAAAACTAGCTGTAGGATATTCTTAAAACAAATTTGTGGATGGTAGATGAAGTACTTTGCGGTGCTCTGTTATATATTGTGCAATTTATTTTATATAGTAAAGTGATTATGTCTAGTACTGTGATCAAACTTAACTGTTAAAGCCTCTGTATCCGACATTAACACATTTTTGACCGTTCATAACAGGTACATAAACAGAAATGAGCTCTTAGATACAATCTCTCTCCTAATGCTTGCATCATTTCCGTAGCTGCAGACCTTGTCCAGAAAACCAAAGAGCTCATGTTAGCGTACATACACTACCGATTAGATAGTCTGTCAAACTAATAAACTAGGCACATTTAAGGAAGTTAGGAAAAAAAGTGGTGCTAAAGAAATGTCTGCATATAAAAGTAACACGAGATGTCTGCTCTGTGGATGTGGCGTTATCTCTCTAATCCCTGGATGTATCCTGTGAAGCTTGAATACAATTAAGACCTGCTCATACAGTGGACATTTTTTTAGCATGAACTATGGGGCTGCAGATAGCATATAAATATAAACACACTTGGTATACTAATGATTGTGAGAATGTGTACACTATTTTTTTTTTCTTTTTCCTCCTTCGTTTTTGCAGTTCTGGGGACAATCTGACTGGATATGACACCGCATAGTAGATTTAAATGTTCTGGGTTTTGTTTGTCGTGATGTCCTTCTTTGTGTCTAATTTAGTAAGTTGGTTTTCCCAGTGTTTAGTTGCGAGTATTGGCTTTGAAAGGATTTTTTCTGTTTTTGGAGAAAAAAAAAAAGAAAAAATAGTTTTTTACTGGTTTAAAATGCTTATTATAATTATCCCTTTTGAAGTTACTTCTGGGCGGTTTTGTGATATTGCTTTTCCCAGCCCAGGTGTCTTTTCTGTTTTTTTTCATCTGTACAAGACATTTTGTTATGCACTACTTTTTGTATCTAGACAGTTTTCAACAGTCGGCTGATGATTTTTTTTAAAGAAAAAGGCATGCTTTCTGACTGACATGATCTTTTGCAATACCTCAATTTTGAAATATAGGAAAGAAAATGATATTTTCTAAGTAAGTTTATTCAGAAAAATATATATTAATTTAATTCTGCAAGAAAAATGATTTAACAGATGGGTAACTTTATTTTTTTCATGCTTATTTGAGTTTTTTTGAAAATGAAGAAGTTAGAGCTTTATAACTGTAATATTAAAGATCATAGCTAACCTACAGAAATCTACCTAATTATGTGAAAGAAGTAAACCTTTTTGAAGAAATACCCCTCTTTCATGTAGAAAAATACCCCCAGAGAGAAAGAGAGCGAGAGAGAGAGAGAGAGAAGCTGGAAAAATGTACAATATAGCATAATGTTGGATTAAATCTGAAACAAAATCATCATAAAGAACAGGTGTAAACACAAACTCCATTTGGTGCTGAAAGTTGTGAATAGAAAGTGAAAAAATATTTTCCCTTAATTTGTATATTTATAATCAAGTGTGATTATGCACGACTGACCAGAATTGTGAGAGTTCTTCTGTTTGTATTTTTTTAAAGAGAACTTTTTTTAGTTTATTAAATTATGACATGCTCCCTTTTGTTTTGTAAATGAATGTGCCCCTGAGTTGTTAATATGTTATATTAAAAGAGGGTCCTTCAAAAAAAGTTATTTTTTAAAATATGGAGTTCTGAACTGCAACTTGACTAAGAAGCCCCTGGGTACAACAGGTCCTATTGTGGCCTTTTCTGATGTGAGACTTGAACTAGTCGATTTTTTTGAAGGCTAACCTAACCTCGACTATTTGTTGTTATGTGCAATACTGTTTGTACTGTTTGTATAAAAAAAAAGAAAAATGAAAAGAAAAAAGGCATAAATCTTTATTGCAGATTTATTTTCATTGCAGACTTTAGACATTGTGATTCACTAAAATCATTTTTCTACTGTCAAATATGTACCTTTTCTTCATGCTGGTATTTTTTCAATAGTAATGTAGCCTTTGTACTGAGACAAATTTTCATTGTTATTTTTAGAAAGATTTTTTGCTAAGAAAAAAATTAAACATATTTACATATTTTTCATTTTTATTTCGTATTTTCTTTAAGGAGTGCTTTCTCAACCATTAATATAGTTGTTTCTGGGAGAGACTTTCATATCTGGTCAATGTCATTAATATTATTTTGTATTTTTACTTGGAATAAATTAATTTTATGATGCTGATTCTTTAAAAGTTTATTTTTTTCATTTTCAGTTATTTTTGAAGCTAAAATCTTTGTAATATTGTTACTAAAGTGTCTAGTTTTTTGAAATGCAAAGCTTTATGTATTAACTTGCTGATGTGGTTTACAATAGTGTGGCAATGATGAAAATGGTTGGTTATGTAAAGTGATTGGAAAATTGTAACAAAGAATTGGGCAATAAAATGACAGAATGAAGCAGAAAAAACGTGATATTTTGAAAAGCCTTTTCCTTTATCAAAATGATTTAGGGAGATAATAGGGATGTCACAGTACCAGTTCGCTGTCTAGATTTATACACCACCAGTGTTGATGAAACTATTGCCGTTATAAGGAACTAAATCTATTGAACCAATGGGTTTTTGACCCTGCCCATTCAGCATAATTCTTCATTACTTTTCTTGTCCATGAACTCAATAAACTCTCTTTTCGGTAGCCTTAGATTGAACCTCCTAAAATATCTATTCTTCATTGTATTTTGCCACCGTGTTATTTATGTACTGAAATTGACCCTTTCCTGCCCACCTTCCTCTCTGCATGCGTGTCTCAGTGGCAGCGTGGAGCAGACTGGCGGTGCCCGCACCATTTTCTAACCCGGTTACCACACGGCATCGGTGGCTGCCCAGTTGATTGCGAAATACTCTCTGTCCATTTCCTGGTAGCAATGCAGTAACCCCACATTGCCACCACCGCTGAACATCCGTTCAGCTTCTTTGTCTTTCTCCGTTCTTCTCTGCCTCTCTTGTGTCTTTGTCCTTTTTTCTTTTGTATTGGCGATACCAAGGGCCAGTATCAGAACACTTTCCGCCTCCATTCACATCACCTTTGTTTCCCCGTGCAGCCAGAAGAAACCCCTTCCTGAAGCCAGTGACTCTCTGTTCTGGCACCTGAAACAATCCAGACTAAAACTGGTGTTGCGTAAACAGGGCATACAATGGCTTTCTCTAGACAAAACTATTGCTTCCACAAGCTACTGATGACCTTTTAGACTAACGTAACCTAGAGCGTTAGAGTGGCTCGTCGGTAACTTGTGGGAAGGAACGTGCCCAGAGTTGGTCTATTGTGTATCCTCTGTGTGTTCAGTTCTGTAAGTAATGTATAGACTAGATCAAATAGTGAAGTAAAATTTAGACTCAAATTAGGTACTACTGGTTGGAATGTACGCAAATTGCAAACAAAGGAGATTAAGGAATGAAGAGGGAATAAAAGAATTCCTGCTAAGTGGTACAAAGTTTATGCTTATATTTCTGCCGACATGCTTGTATTTTATAGCCTGCTAGCAAGGCATGGGCTAAAACAAATTGTATTGCAAATATGCAGTTAGCAAATAACTTTGCTGATTTCACTATCTGTTAGAGTAGTAAAAATAAAAAAAAAAAATAAAAAAAAAAAAAAAAAAAAAAAAAAAAAAAAAAAAAAAAAAAAAAAAAAAAAAAAAAAAAAAAAAGAAAAAAAAGAGGCGCTTAACTGGGAAAAGCTCCCATGTTAATATTTCAGTATTGTGACATCTCTACTTGCAAGGTATGAGTGAAAGATTAGTCACAGATTTGTAGAAATGTCTCTTTTGTTTAATCTGGCTTGTATGTAGTTGCTTTTATGCTAGTTTGTATGATGTCAGCTAAAAACCCTTTTTCTTTTCCTTCCCTCCTTTCTTTTTTTTTTAAACAGACAAACTTCTTAATCTCTGCTGCTATAGTGTTCTATCATACCACAGAGTATTTTATATTCATGTTAGTGATTACTCTATACCCCAAATGGGTAGCTGGTCAGAAATCACATTGGTCACGTAATTCTGACACACTCAAATTTACATGAGAAAAAGTTCATCAGTAAGTGGAAAACCAGGGTGCTAATAAGAGATAATTTTGCTCTTTTTTCTTTCCTGGATATAGTTCTGTTGGGGTATAAAGTATTAGATATTTGTAATTTTACTGTCAAACTAATGGACATAACTTTTAGAACATTCACAGCTAAGATCTCTGTACTTGTTTTTCAACTAATTTTAAATGTACTGTATCTTTTATTACATGTTCTCCTAGATTGTTTTTGCTAGTAATTCTAACAAGGCTTCTTCCTTTTTGGCTTGGACTAATGCTTGTATGGAACTGCAGTACTGTGACTAAACATGGAGCTCAATGCTGCTATTGCTTACAACTGCTTAAACTTTGTAGTTTGGACTTTATTTTTTTCTGTAATAACTTATTAAATATAGTTGTATGAAGTACTGATATTTGTCATCCTTTGCACATGCTAAGGAAATCTTGGGATATGCATTATGGGAATGTAAACTACATACAAACCCCCCAAATCTTGTACTGGAAAACTGTTTACACTAGATAAGGTTAAGCAGAGAAACAACTTACATGCACACAAACTGTCTTTTCTAGTTATTTTGTAATGCAATATCTGGTCCACTTATGTTTTCTCTCTGAAATTGAAAAGCCACCCCTGCTGAGGTATTTATTATGCTAAGCTGAAGGTAAATACAAAAATACGTATGATGGAAATATTTCTGAGAGTGTAGTTTTCCCCACCAAATGCAGTATCCAGTGCCATGAGAATAGGAAGTATTGAATTATTTTCTCTGAGCTTAAGAAAAATTGCTGGCAGAGATGTTGCACTCCTTTACTAGAAGTTTAACAATGTCTGCAGGCTAGGGATTAGAATTATCAGTAAAAGAAAAAAAGGAAAAAAAGCACTGCAACAGTAGTTTATAGTGACTTATTTTTTAAGAACAGGAGACAAAGTTCAGTGATACAGCTGTGTGGAACTGCACAGAATACTTCCTTGAAAAAACATGAATTCTGCTATGTCGGGCAAGTGAAGACCACAAGGATGGTGCATGGTCTGTGTCACTGCTTTCTTTCAATGTCTACATAAATGCAGCTCAAGAACCCTGCTGGAACTGTCAATACTGGAAATGACAGGCTGACTTCATGTATATGTTCTACTTAAACAGAACCTGAGTAGGTTTACACCAGAAATTAAATGCCCTTTGGAAACTAGGAAAAGCTGATGAGGTTACCTGTGCTAAGTATTGCGAAAGCTCCTTAGTGTGCAGAGCCCTGTGGCTTTCGTTACTCCAGTTTATCCTAATATTAGCTGGTGCAATATCTCACACACGAACTTGTTTTTGAACTGGTAGTGAATAATTATTTCAGGAGAATGGTCTACTGACTTCTCGGAGAAATGCTTTTACACAATAGTGATCTGTAATATGAATTCCAGTAGTGAATGAATGAATGCAAAGTTGTAGACTTCTCATTACTTCAGAGTTAATTTTGAGAAGGCAGTTCTTGTGAACACCTTCCAATTAATGAGTGTTAAATTGCTAATTGTAGCCTTTCGCTGTACAATGTTCCAAGTCCATCCAGACAAAAATCAGTCTGGGTTTACCCCCTCTTCAGTTACAGAAAACAATTGTTCAGCACAGCCCCTCTGGACCTTCTAATCCCCAGTCCTTCCCTTACTGATAAAGTCAGCCATACCTCTTGCAAGGTACACTGATAATGACAATCTCCCTTCTCCACCTGATAAAAGCATTTAACTCAGACTTTGCTTGCATTAAAAAAGAGGTTGCAGTAACCTAAATTAAACCAATGCATTTAAGTACAAAGAGCTGCATGGCCATTTTTCATTCTGGTTTGTATGTGTTATTTTGGCAAACTTAAACTGAACTAAAATAGCTACCTGTATGACTCTTGAAGTTTTGTATTAAGCCTATTTAGACATGCTCCTAAGCTAAGCATTTTTGCATTCAAGGCACCAAAGCAACATGTCCCTCCTCACACAGACCTGCAGAAAAGCCAGAGCTTAGCTCTTAAAAGCCATAATCTGCTTTCCTCTGTTTAGCAAAAGATAAACAGCAGGAGCACACGGGGAGAATTGCTAAATTCTCTCCTAGGGATGAACCAAGGAATGGTTTTAGAACACGCCAGCTATGCAACCTGTTTTCATAAAAATGTTAAGAGCTATTTGCAAAACCCTTATGCCACACAGTTCTATTACGAACACATGACAGAGCTGCACGCAGCAGCTGCACACACAGATGATGCCTGGTCAAATGAATTCTCTCCTTCTCTGACTGTTGTAGGTACAGATCGTTACCCCAAGATAAACTGCAAAAACTTGCTTTCCCCTGGGGAGAGAGAAACGTGATAAAGGTCCAGAAATATCCCCCTTTTCCTGTTTTTGAAGGAGAAATAAACCATAAGCAAGTATGAAGTCATATGGCAGGCCCTTGGCAGTAGTTAGGACAGAATTCCTGCTGTTTTCCCTAGAGCACAGTAACTTCTCCATGTGTCTGTGCCTACCATTCACAGAGTGCCATGGTAGGCACTTGGGGCTAAATCAGTAAGATCAGGTATCCATTTGCTACTTTTAGGAACTTGAGTGATATTTATTTGCTAGCAGCTTCCTAAAATCTCCTTTGAGCTGCTGCCTGGCATTGCTGGGGCCTGTGTTTTTGTGAACAGGAAGGTATAAAACTGCTTTTGTCTTAATACTTCTCAATTGTTTAATAACCCAAGATCTACTTAGATTCTCAGGGTATTCCCCTGAAGTTTTTTTCGCCTGCAGGCCTAAACACATAAAGCACTTGCAAGCATATTTATCAGCCCATATTTCACACACAGGAGAATAGTGTATTCCTCCTCCTCTATCCAATAGCCTGAATGGTCAAAACACCTGGGGATATTTTTATTTTTTACTATTTTCTTTTCACAATTTCCTGCAGTCTGGAGCAAGAAGTAAACCTTTTTGCTCATGGTTGTAGCAACTACCCCTAATTACTTGATGACACATACTTTGATCACTACCAAGTGAAAAAAAATAGTCTCTGGAACAGCATAAGCATCACCACTAAGGTAAATAATCAAAATGGTTGTTAATGAAGTTACACTTAACTACATCATGCCCTCTGATACACCTTCTTGACTTCCTGGCAAGCTTCTACATGTACTCATTGAAATAAAAGCCTGAAAGAGAGAGAGGGTCGATACAATTCATATGCAAAATAATTCTGCAAAATACTGCCAAAAACCATGGCAAAGATACAACTCATGATCTCATCTCATCTGGTCTCCAAGATCTTTGCCTTTCACAGTTACAAAAAGGCCTCTGATCTCATTGTCAGACTACAGAGCATGGTCAGTGTCAAATAACAAACATGAAATTCTAGGAGATGGACAAAATCTTGTACCTAATTCCTCCAGCTGTGCCTGGTGCATATTGTTGTAGTCAGAGCCCACGTCACAGATTCACAGCATTCACACGTGCCAGAAACGTCCTGCTGAGCATTCTGACACTAGATCTGCATGCTGTCACTTGTAAATTGTCACCAGTTTATGAATGAGTGACAAACAATGGTAATATTTCTTTGCTCCTCTCAAAGAGCACCAAAATATTACTGGGATGTTGGTAAGATGATGTTGCACAATGCAGAGGATTCTGCCTAAAGTGATTATCTGTGGGGAGTAAAGCTCACTGTAGTCACAATTTACTCTAGAAGGCAATTAGATTCCCAGTGAAAAGACATGACACAATTAGATTCCCAGTGAAAAGACATGACACATATTGTAGCTTGTGGGTGACTGGCTGTTGGTTCCTTGTCCCCATTATCACTACCTGTTGCAGAATTTGTCACAGCTCAGAGCTGGACAGTTTTACTTCTGAACACATACAGTCACATCCCTTTGTCTGCAACCGTGAATGAGCAAAACCAAATGCATTTCCCCCTTTAAGATTTGCTACAAATATGAAAAAATGTTTGACAACACCAACCAGCATATTACCTCTGTATAACAAGCTCCTTATATGCTGAACACATTAATGTGGAATCGCTTTCTAAAAAAAATGGAATGCAATATCAAAGCCCAAAAGAATGCATAAAATATAAGGGAATAGAATATTGTTCTAATTTGAAGACAGAATTCTACCTTACAGATGTCAGTGGGACCCCAGTTCATCAGAAAATATGTCAACTTTCATGTCGTTCTCATCTGCTCCAGCTTTAGACAATCACTAATGTCACTCTGTTACTTTCCAGCTAACTAACTTAACAGGTTCTAGCCTAGGAAGTGCCTGATCATTGCTTTTCAACTTACTTAATTGAACCTAATGACCTGCAAGTGCGAGCTAGCAAGGGTCAGGTGAGAAGGAATGGGGAAAAGTTAAGTAGTCCATTTTATCTCCATTTTAATTAATGCTTTATCTAGAAAAATTTCAGTCACTCTGACAGAAATAAGCAGGAGTATTTGATACTCATTATATCATGAGCTCAGAAATAAGGCAGAAACCAGAACCAAGGGCTCCTCCCTCCCAAGGGGAGGTCCAAGCCTTTTAATTAGTAAGTCATTCCTATGCTCCCACCCTGTTAGTCCAGAGAATTCATTTTATACAGAACTGATATAACAGAAAGCGAAAGCCCTCCTCCAGTCACAGGTAGCATAACCCAAGGTATCACTACTGTCATGAGCGTGAAATGCTCTCTGTGATAACACACCCTGAAAAGCAACTAAATTAGCCAATGCTAAAGCACCTGCTGTATTTCTGCATCCCACTATTTACTTACATGTGCCTAACTCAAGGACATGGATTGTGCTCTGGCCACCACAAACAAAACACTTAGACACAGTGATGCTCAAATTCAACAACGCTGACATAGCTTTGTTTTTCCTCTTCTCAGTTTAGCTTTTTTATATGCTGAAATGTTTGCATTAGGTGCTTAGGCTGTTCTATTAAAAGATTCCAAGTACTGACACTAGAGCATAGCAGCAAACACACTCCAGTGAGCACTGAAAAAAAAAAAAAGACCTGCCACACAGAGGAAAAGGACATTAAAATCTTGAAGTGCTGAAGAGCCTGAATTCTATGAGGCAGAATATAAAACAAGCAATAATGCAACCACCCCACCCCAACCCTAAAAAGGGCAAAGAAGCAAATCCAGAGATGATAAAATGTTTTAGCACTTTTTTATCGAGAGAATTTAGAGGCAGAGAGTACCATGTAATGAAGGCCATGTAATGAAAGGACTACTCTCAGAATACATAGAATATAAACATGAGGAACTCTAATGGTCTCTTGCTAATGTTTTGTTCTGGAAAAATCCATAAGATACCAGGAAACTTTAGGGTTAGAATTCCTTCAGTAATACTGCTTCAATCAGTGCCCTGAAAAAAGTTTAGTACAGATGATATAGCCAGAAGGCCAGAAAAAAACCTGGTCATGAAGAGATATGACTTACTGAGTCTGGAAATTTCTACACTATTATATAACCCAGTAACTCCTGTAGTTAACTCACTGCTGTGTAATGGCTGCTGACAGCTAATCCTCGGTGAAGCCAGGGGTTGTATGAGACAAAGGAAAACAAATGCTAAAATATCTGATATCCTCCACATTTGTCAGACTATTCACACTCAACGTATTTTAAAAAAACCCTAAATCTTAAATTTACATCCATCCTATGAGTCTGGGCTCCACTCAGCAGAGCTTATAGGGTGTAGAGTAAGTGTATAATGTAAGAGGAAAAGCAGCAAAGTGTGGGGGAGGATGAATCTCTTCTGCAGTTTAGCTCTCTATTAGCACAGTATCTCAGACGTACAAAAGGACTTTCACACAAAACATAGTTCAGTGCGTCTTTCACAGAGCAACTGCAGCCCTGTACTGAAGATGCCTGCCACTGCTCTAAAGTAGGACAACAGCATCTGTTTGGAAAAGGAGGTTAAGGAACATAATTTCTGTCTTGTGTTTGATTTCTTATTTCTGAATGACATAGGAGGCCAGTTAGGCGACAATGGCCTTTCCACTGAGGAGTGATGCCAAAATAGGACAACACTACCTGACATTCTCCTTTTGGTCTTTCAAGTACTATTCAAACTCACGCTCTCCAAACCTAGTTTGAGTAAAATTTAGAATTATATTTACAGCAGCTTTTCCACTCTGGAAACTGCCTTCACTTGTAGAAATGATGTTCTCTGGTAATTAAGTTGTGTATTACAAGCTGCAGTATTGCCTCTGAGCAAAACAGTTTGGGTTAAGCCTGCCTGCTTTTGATCCCAATTTCCTAATTATTATGGATCAACCTCTTCACTTGTGCTTCTGTCAAGTGTGAAGAGTTCATGGGGATTGGTTGTATCAGTTCTTTTCACAGAGGAATTAAGCTGCATTCAAAATGCTGCAGGAGGTAACGTGGAGTCAGCAAGTAGCAGTGCCCTTCTATCAGACAGTCCTCTTAAATCATGCTCTGAAGGAGGGATGTAACAGAAATAGCATTAGACTGAAGTGAACACTTCATATCAAATACTCAAACTGAATCTTTGCCCAATTCCCGAGCCAATTCCAAATACACTATCAGATCAGAAATTCTGGGAGGGTTGTCATCTGTTTTGTGATTCTTGCAGAAATAGGACTGTGAGAGCAACTCACTGGCCCCAGGAAATGGAGTCAGTGTGCTGTGGAGTCACTCAGCTGCAATATGCAAATTCTGAAAACTTGATTTTTTTCATCTTCCTAAAGCTCAGGCTGTACAGCTGAGCCAGAACCCATGTGACTGTGAGTCTGCCCGGCTCCTGCTAAAATGAGTTCTCCCTGGCTATCTCCAGCACACATACTGTTCCCACAGACTGAGCCTGTCATCACCAGCTGTACCACCTGCTTGGACTCCTGGGACCCTTCTGCAACTCCTATTACCAAACCATTTACTTGTAATAGCCTCATCTTGGCAGTGGGACAAGGCAATCAGCAAAGATGCTGCTTCTCTCTGGATCTGAAGAACATGATATCCCTTCTGAGGCTTTAGAAGGTGCTGATACCACCCTTCTGTCCGTTCCACCTCACCCCACAGGCACAGCCCTAGACATGCTGTAGACCCTTACACATACCTCTCCTTAGATCATCCTCACTCCAAATTCTGAGCAGAAGCCTGGAGTGCACAGCTGAGGAAAGGAGAGAGCAATACCACACTGTGC